TTTGATCTTTTTCTGCCTATTTCACCTGAACCAGTAAGGCATCCAAATGAAAGGAGAGGAGAGAGATATGTTGAGACTCAACATTGTTAATTACAGGCATAACAGAGTCACTCTCTGCTTTTGTAATTACTCCTTGTGTCTGCCTTTCCCAGCTCTTTTCCCTGTGTGGTTTACATCTCAGCCCCATCCCCCCTAATGACACACCACCACTGAAATAAGCTATGAAAACTGTCAACTGCTTTTTAACACTGTTTTCCTCCCTAATGTGATTCTTTTCCCAGCAGAGAGGGTTCAGGTAATGAAAGGTCCAGACCTCTGTTGCTCTGTTCACACTGACGGCAGCTGTTCCAGCATCAGCCGTCTAGCACTGAACCACTCTGGGCTCATTAAACTCCCGTCCTAACAACAATGACAGCATCCACTGTATATTTAGCTCCATTTCAAAGCTGCGCTATAGAGTGTTTTACAAGACAAATAATCGAGAAAAAAAAAGGCACACATTAGACAATAAGATGAACTATAACATTCGCCACTGATGGATGTCAGGTGGTTTAGGTGTGATGCAGGTCAGCATCAGCAATTCAAATATGGAAAATGGTCCACTGATTGTCTCTGACCAAACCATTGCTAGGACAAAATGATAGGCTAACATATTATCTGCATTCAGTCTGCCTGATGAATGAACACCGCAGCCGCCACAGCAACAATTGGATGGTGTGATTTCATGCAATCCAAATTAATTTTCTGTTAATAATGTTAATCTATCTTATAATATTGTGCTTTTTTTATAGCCGTAATAGCTTTTTATGGGTTAAATCGATTCCGTAGCTCCCTCCTGGCTTAAGGGTTAAGACAACAATCATGAATTGCAATAACCCCAGTTTGAATCTGAAGTTTTTGACCGTCAAACTTTTGAATAAAGGCATAAAATGCCTCAGATATATTTTTTATTTTATTTTTTAAAATCAGTCATTCATCATTTGTGTACGAAGTACTCAATGAACATTAACATATTTTCTTATTAATAAACAGTGTTATTTTTGTATGTATGTATTTTTAGGAAGTTTGTCTCTTAAGTTTTCAATATGACATAAAGAAAACAATTTATATTTGCAACCTCATTATTGCACAGACTATACATGTGACTGCAGAGGAGGACGCTGTCACTGCCGTATTAATGAATGTTTGGAACTCATCTGTTTAATACACAAAAAGAGAATTATGAGAGATTCCAAAACAAACAGGTATAAGGTCAGGTGTAGGAAAAGCACTGCCATGGGTACATCATCATCATGCCAGGTGATGAATAATAGGAAGATTAGCCTCAAACAGGGCTGTGCTAGTAGTAGTGGAGAGTACATGTATCACAGGCGTGTTGGAGGGGAGCAGGTGGATAGCACGAGGGTCCCTACTGTGCTGCAACTACTGGAGCTAAACAGAAAAACTAAGTACTGCAAATGTAGCTAAATATAAATTAAAGGGCCACCGCTGGAACTCCAAGAGGTAAATAGTATATAGTAAAATGCCAGCACTGCTAGCAGAGAGCAACAGAAGGCTAACACTGTTGGTCTAATGCAGCTACTGGAGCTAATTTTAGGTCACACTAAATTGTGTCAATTATGGACCTTCGTCTGCTCCGTCTCCCTCCCTGCACCTCTCCCAGCCTCGAACCCACTTCACCCACATTTCTCCATATGGGAAACTTTCCACTGTTTGTTTTTGAGTAGCCCAGTTTAAATGTGACCTATATTCCCCAATTGGGCAGAGTTAAAGGGCAGCGCCAGGGTTATTTAAAGGGATATTATTCCAACATTTAATGCAGCAGGAAAACAATGCCGCTCTGTCAGTGTTACTATTCCTTTATGTGGGTGCGTCTGTTTATGAATAATAATAATATACTAATATGAGTAGTTCACAGTGGTTGGTTTACCTTTTCTTGAGCTCAGCTGAGCCTTGAGATTATCTTCAAATATTAATATGGTTCTTTGATTGTGTTCTTTCTCAATTTGTAGCAAAAATTTAAATCCCCTGTAGTTGTGTAATCTCCCATCCAGAGCCACGCTGTAAGTCACAGGTGTCCACAGGGGCCTGCAGGCACCAGGGGGTTAAATGACATTTAAAGCAACATTATGCAACTATTTTACCTTAAAGGTATACTATGCAGGATTTATTCTTTGCTGTTTGTAAACGCACCATTCAAAGTTGGCCTCTCCTCCACAGCCCGAGCAGGCTAAGCTGAGCCACATAGAGAGTGAATGAGGAGAAGAAGCGGCACTAGCGAGAACAAAGCTTTGAATCAGAGAAATAAAAAGTTATTTTCTGATTGTAGCGCAGCATCATCCTGTCTGCCCTCTGTCAATCAGACAGTGACATACAGACTTGCAGCTTGTTACGCATCCATGACACAGACAGGCGACAGTCCTGACCTTTGCGTGCCGCCCAAAGGTTGATGCCTAGAAACGTTCCGAACACAACAGAATAACAAAATACAGACACCGCCTTGAAACTATGGATGTCTCGTTATCCGGCATACAGCACTAGAAAAGAAGACAAATAGAACCTGGGACACAAAGATACAGTGACTGGGTCAGAGAAAGGTATCATTACAAATATTATTATTACGTTTATATGTCATACTATTAGGTGTTCTGATTTGATAAATAGATTAGGATTAGGAGAATAGATTTAGTGAACAGGTACGATGTTAGGAGAGTCTGTTATCAGTGAGATTGCACACATGCCTCATTGCCTGTTAGTCACTTGTGTGCAGGGAGGTAATTGGAATTCAGCGGGGGAATGACGGATTCCACTCTCACAATGAAACCTATTACTTAGAGATGTCATTACAGAATGCAAATAGATTGAATGGCTATGGCTGACAACCCTAAATAATATCAAAAATGGGGTTTGACTGTGGTGTTGAAAACTCAACAAAGTTCACAGTTAACTTTCATAACATCAGCAGTTCTTTATGTGTCATGTGCTTCTGTTATTTTACCCACCATATGTGTGTGTGGGGGGGGGGGTGCTTACTCCACATGCTTTTATTACACAGCTGCATGTGTCCCAGAGTTTCACCAGACACACTTGACCTCCTAAAACGCAGTCATAAATACAGACACACACACTGAGATAACGCATGTGTGAAAGTTACTTAAAGTCGGTGCATTCAGTTGCAGTGATGACTTTGATGTGTGCATATAATTAAAAAAGTATAATGAAGCCAAGCAAATAAAAGCCAACACACACCTTTTTTAGTCAGTACCACCTGACAGCCTTTATCAGGAAAAGAAATTCCCTAATAAATGCAAAACAATTCAACTTTGCTAACTATGTACATACCTCTGACTACAACTGTAGTGCTCACAAACTGCTGACTTTTTAGGTATCACAGTAGAACCATGCATTCAAATGTTTCAGACCTTTAATAAAGCTCCATAGAGCTGAGGGGAACTACAGAGTTGGATGACAGTCTCTTCGAGCAAGCCTTTCATTCCTCCACTGTTGATATAAAAAATATTGAAGTTAGCTCTGAATTTATTATCCCAGTCGTGTCTTTATTGTTGCTACCGGCCCAATTTAATTTGCTATGACACTTTTGGCAGTTTTTGGAGAAAAGCTTAAGCTAATTTCTAGGAATAAAACATGTAAATCAATTTTTGTATTTCTTGTTAATTAAATCAAGTTATTTCTGACGCTGTATCTGTGTGACAGAGACGCCTCCAAGCACAGTTGACTGAGTGCACTTGATTGGCTCCAACAAATCCATCTGTGTGTGTGCGCGCCTTTGTACTGCTTTGTGCATGTTTGCTCAAGACCAGGGTGACTCATATTGTGTGTATGTGTGTTTGTGTGTGTGTAAAGCAGTGAAATCAGAGCACCATGCTGTCCCAGGCTTCCAGAACATCAAGTCTCAGCTCAGTGACTCATTCATCCAGACTGAGGATGAATCTATCAGTGCTGTTTCCCAGTGACTGACTCTTTATGCCATCAGCACAGTCTGGGTTGGCTGTTCTCTGACTCTGAGAGATTCTGTTGTAGGTTTGAAACAAGTAGTTTTCAAGTAGACAGAAAATGAATCTTAAGTCATCAGTCTTGCAGAAACCTTAACGTTTTGCTCACATTCATAGATTGTTGTACCCACAAATGCTGCGTGTTGTCCGCCGTGTTTTAGCTGGTTGCAATCTGCAATTTCACTGCTAAATGCAACTAAATCCCCCACACTGGGCCTTTACAGCTGGAGTACAGACCAATTCATGAATAACACTGACCCACGTTGCATCAAATTGCTTCATGTTGCCTCATGTCTTCTGGTTGTGTCATGTGCTAAGAAAAATATTCCAATGGGTTTTAAATGGTTTAATTAGTTTAAGAAGTACCCTCAAAAGTAAACGTAATCCTTCAATTTATATGAAAATGTTAAAATGAACAGATACATGGTTTTCATCGGACAGTGAATTGTTCCAATAATGCTGTATTGCACAGACTAGGTGAAGTATTACCAGCTAAACCCAAAAGCAGACATGGAACCAAGCCAGTCTCACGTCTTTGAACTCAAGTCCCAAGTCCTAAACTTTGAGTCCTAAACAAGTCACAGATAATATATAATATAATGCCATTTTTACAACCGAATGAATGGGCACTCAGAAAGGTAGCATTAGTTTTTTATTGTTCTCTCCTGCAACTTAATTGGATGCTGTTGTTGTCTTGCTAGGAATGAATTCAAGGGGAAAAGAGTTGATTCTTTGCACACTTTTTATATAACATACTTTTTAATCTTTGGGTTTTGGGGAAGGTATCAAGTATTTTCAAGTCAAAAGTCCAAGTGAAGTCAAGAGTCATTGGTTTTAAAGTTCCAGTCAAGTTGCAGTTATTTTTAAATTTTATGATGTCAAGCCTAAAGTTATCAAATTTGTGACTCGAGTTGATTTTTTTTCATTATTTTACTAAATAAAATAACTCTTTCTGTCTCCATGTTTTTCGTCATGTTTCCAGCCTTTCTCAGGTGACCAGATGGACGACTTCAGCAGCGAATTATTCAGCAGTTTCTTTGATGACCATCTATTAGAGCGACCCCTTCTGGCAGACAGACCTTCACTTTGTATGGACATAGACAGCAGCCCAGGTCAGCTCCTCTTCTATTATAATGAATTATCATGAAAAGAATACACATGGTACTTTCTTCACAGCTCCGCACAGTACTAAAATAAAAGAACACTCTTTAAGTATTGGACAAAAAATGAATATATGCAGTCAATATGAATGCACCCGGAGTTAGATCACAGTGGTCGTTCCTTCCAATAACATTTCTTTTCCCAGTTATTTCCAGTGTAGCGATTAAAATATTACAGTAGTTAACCAAAGTTGGTTGGTGGAACCCTTTCACAGTGCCCAACCACTGTCTTCAATATGTTTGCCTTGAAAGTCTTTTCGGCCCAAGAATACCAAAGTTTTCCTCTCTGCAGCTAATAGTGACATTTCGATGACCTTCTCATTTACTCGGATATGGTCCAGCAGTACAGCAGCCAGTTGCTCCACTCCTCAGCTAATGTCTCAGAAGAAAAGACCCCAATCCCATTATTTGGTTTGATTCGAGAGCACAAAACTCTGCAGGGACACCAACCGTATCAGGTTGTAACTTCCCAACCACTGACATCAACCCTGGCTCAGTCCTCCCCAGAGAGGTCAAGTTCCACCAAATGAAATCCAGCGTCTGTTGCCAAAGTATGCAACTTCCAAAACTCCTTCCTTTAAACCAGAAGGAAACACACAAGACTCTACCTAGCAGGTGCTGGGAATGTTAAAGAGAAAGCACCGAGTTGTCGGATTAGGCTACAGCTGGCTGAGTTACCACAAGGCACAAGGGAAAATGCCAGAGCTGAAGGATTGGTCCCAACTTGCTGCACACAAATCAGTGTCCCTGTCAGGCGTTGCCATGGTCACTCAGACTTTCATGAAGTGATTGGACTTTTATGTTTTAGGAGATAATAAATCAACATTTTCAGCGTGTAAAACATAAATGTCCCGCCCCTTTTCGACATGCTCCTCGTTACATAAATGTGAAGGCCATTAAACATGTCAGTATCAGGTCTATGTAAGCGCCAAAGTCACTGTCACAGTCACAACGGCGATCTTATTAGGTTGGACCTAGTTACATTTCTGTAACACTTTGAACACACTGAAATGATTGCAAAGGCAAGAGCAGCACAGGCTAAAATACACATAGAGAGTGCTTAAATGCATGTCTTGCTCAGCCTAAGCAAGAGCACTGCAATACATTCATCCATCAATTATCATATCTTACACACAAAGAAAATAAAATTGGTTTAATGAACAGAAAAACACAGTTAATGAGGTGATTTTAAGTTCAGATAATTCTTTTTATAATAATAATTTTTTTCCCCCTCATGGTATGGATTAAAAGAGGCAAACAAATCCCCTCTCGCAGTGTAAATCAGGCTAGCACTCCCTCTTTATAGGCTGTTTTCACTTCCCATTGCCAACTGCACATCATCACTCACCGTTGTTGTCGGTGATCACTTTAACAGGTTGACGATGAGAGCAATGTTACACTTTCCGTGCCTGAAAAGGGCTTTTTGAATCTCACAGATATTCAAGCAGAGCACAGCTACTCTTTGAGTGAAGACTCCGCCCCCCAGAGCCCAGCCCTGTCAATCAAAATGGACCAAGAGTCTGGTAGGTCATCCTTTTCATTATAAGGCTTCTAAAGACTAAATCTTGTCTTTCGTTATCTCAGTTTGTGCTTCCTGGAAAAATGTACAGCCAACCAAAACTCTGCTGCTGAAGTTTAGTCTGGTTCTTTATCACACTGGCTGAGCCCGGGTTATCTAGTTTTGCTCAAGATTATATTTGACACGCAGTCTGACCCTGTCTGCTGTCTGTCAAATAGTATGAGCTCTGACAGGCTGAATCTACTGTCTGTTATATAATGTGTGTGATGATTTGCCTTCTCAGTCCCAGGCCCAAAACCTTTTTTTGATTGTCAGCCATTCAAAGTCTCTTTTTCGTTTCAGATAGGGATGTGGGACTGTTTGAAAATGAAGATTTATTTAACGTGAATAGCCTCGGTCAACTTCTTTCCTGTACTTAGATATGCTACATGCTAGGCTCGTCTACCAAATTGTAAAGATTGGTTAAAAGATAAAAGCGACAAATATTCATATATAGTCATATTTTAAATCAAGCTTACTTATGATTAATATAAATTAGCTAGCTAGTTAGCGAGCTTTTAACTTGACTCTTTTAACCGTCTTCAAAATAGAACATAGCATATCTAAGTACAGGAAAGGAGTACTTAGGTTCAGATTGCTCAACTGAACCACGGAGCAGAAAAGGGGCGGGAAGGGTCAATTCACTGTTAAGTAGAATGGGACACTTGGATCATTACAGTAACACATAAAGAGTGGTTACTAGCAAGAGTGATAGCTCATCTTGCTTACAAGGATTATTGATATGTTGATTGACAGCAAGATAGGCCAGTCAGTTTGTTTGCAAGCCTTATTCAAATGGTAGGCGGGGCACCGGCGTTCCTCTGGGACTGATGTTGTCGTATATAAGAGGTGCCTGTAGGAGCAAGTGTGTGCTCCAGTGTAATATAAAAATACTGTGTTCACATGTTCACATCCTGCTGTCTTCCTCTCCCTTTGTGACTAACCTTCCTCATTATCTCCTACTGTCTCCTTCTCGACCATGTCTCCGCCCGTCTTCCTCGGTCTCCGTCTGTACCTGTCATCCTCACTCTGTCTGTCTGCTCTCCGTTTGTCCCGGGGATCCTGCTGTCTGAGCAGCAGGATCCCAGTCTGAGCAGTTTTCCTCCAGCTAAGCCCTGCCCACCTAGCACACACACACAGACGCACACACACAGCGCTATGACAAGCATATGGTTTTGAGTCTGCAGCTTTAGCCGAAGCCAGCGGAAACTCTCTTTCTCTCTTCTGTTAGGTTATCTCTCTCTCTCTTGCTCACTCTCTCTTTTCTTCCTGTCTGTATATTGCTGTCTCTCTCTAACTCTCCTGTTTTCTATCTTTCTCCTCTTCACTCTCTCCCTTAATCCAATTAAATCCATCGATGAATATCAGATTACCTGTATTGCCAAAATACCACATTGAGCAAAAAAAAAAAAAAGGGTCTAGCTCACATTAAAAAACAACCATCTGGCTTGTGTATTGTTTTCGGTTCACTGTGAACTATAATATTTATTTATATCATATTTTACCCTTTTGAGAGAATAAAAAAACATCAGACTGAATGAATCAGTGTTATGTAGAGTTAGAAACACTCCAATCGGTCCAAACCTACCGTGTATGCTGTAGTTAGGTTGGAAATGTACACTGATGCCAGAGCAAACTGGATCTTATAAAAACTAAAAGGACATATTAAAGCACTCACCATCAACATAATATGTTACTGAATAAAACAAAACATTTAGACAGCTTTGCTTTCATGATGAGTTTATTTATTTCCTCATTCATTGCTTCAGTCTGTAGTTGCATAACTGTCATCTCACGCTCACATATAGAACACACACACACATACACACACGCACAGAAACCTATATATCATATGTATTTGAATCCATTCCAGCCTATTTGATATTGAACTTTATCCAAAATGCATTTTACAACCTGAATCCGCTCCATAAATCCTGACTATAAACTTTGGGATACTTACTTTCCACCAATTTTACATCTGTACTTTAGTGTATCCACTGCACAAATGGATCATTATATTTATATATATTTGCACAACATGCAGTTTATGAGCTACGTTTATTTCACATTAGAGGGAGGTGATATATAGCAAAGCTTTAAATAGAAATAGTATATGTACTGACTCAATTCAGGTATCTTTGTGGTAGTGCCAAGCCAACTCTACAGAATGGTGCAACCTTCTGTTTTCCAGCATGTCTTCTTAGCAATCAGATGAGGGTTTTACTGCATGCAGCGTCAGTAAAGGAAAGTCTGTTTGTTTGCATGGTGCCATTTCAACATGTTGTTTGTGGTTAACAGCACTGTTCCTTGACATAATTTATAACACTGAGGCGATCTTCTGCACTTGATGCCCCCCCCCCCCGTTAAATGCTGCTCTGCACTCTGATTTGGAGAGGGAGAATTGAACGTCTGATTAAGCCACTTGTGGAACATTTGCAACATAGTTTTCATTTCCAGATTTAGCGCTTCGCTTTGTTCCCATTTCCTCTGAAAAATATGTTGTCACACAGCCTGACTGTTAGCTGCCATTTTGGCACGAGAAGTATTTTGACAAGACTGCTGCAGCTGAAGAGATGATCCTGTCATAGAGTGTCACCGTAATAACGGCATTTCAGCGTTGGACAACCGTTGCACCGTTAATAAGGTCTGGAGAAGGCAACTTTGTTTCAGTACATGTACGATATATGCTTACATATGCGGGAAAGGCAGAAGGTTCTGGCAAGAGTTACACATGAATACCTTTCTACAGGCCCTCTCGGCTGCCACTGAGAGCAGCGCACGAGGAGCAGCTGCTATTTTGTCTTGATAAGTCAGGTTAATTAACCACCTAGGGACGTCAGAAGTTGTTGACCTTTCGGAAAGGTTTGTTCTGAATGAAGGAATTTATAGATCATGGTTTGTTCTCTTGGACAACAACATAGAGAGCAATTTAAAGTTCTGCCCAATCACAATTATAAGATAGTATGTTAAGCAAGGGATGCTCCAGTCACATATCAGTTGCAGAACCAATTTGGTGGCTTTGACAGCGATCACTAAATGTTTTTACAAGAAACTGCCAGATAAGAGAGCAAAGAGCAAAATCTGCTACTTTGGCCTCTGCATCTCAGTATAAGCCACATTATAAAGTCTCAAATCTCTTTTGGGCTAAGCCCTGTTGAAAGCATCATACTAAGTTTGTAGCGATGGCAAAAAATAATAATTCATGTTTTTTTTAATACTCTTACAATAATATAAAATGAACTCAAACTGTTCGATCTGTCCACTCATGGACATGAACAGTTTGGGTGCCCACTGGGGCAAAAATGTACCTGCTGGGATACAGTGCTGAAACCCAGACACCAACCAATACTTGTGTACTGGAATACTACCTCTTCCCAGGTTTACAGTTTGTAGTAGTTTGATTATATAATCTACTACTATAATAAAGTTGTTCGAATTAGATTTTGACACAGTGCCTGCACCACAATATGACATAATAAAGCTTAATCTAGTTGATATTGTACTTTGGTGATGTAAATTCCAAAACAAATTTGCAAGTAATCAAAATACGGAAAAGGCACCAGACACACAGTGAACCTGGGGCTTTTGGGGCCCATGGAAATCTGGGGCCCGGAGCCAGTTTATCGCTCTTCCTGGTTGGTAATCCTCCAGTGATTATGTTTGTTTTTAAAATTGATACTACTGGGTTTAATCTGTCTTTGTTTTCCTCCCTCATCCTCTCCCTTTCTCTCTCTCACCCTGTGGTCTTAGTTGGTCTTATTCACACTCAAAGAGAAGCTGTGTGTTTTACTGCAGCTCCTACTGCGCTGCTCCATCTATTGTTTTAATACTCCTGCTGTCCCACTGAGATCAAGCACAGTCACCACCTCTCCTCCGTTAAAACCCCCCTGTGATGACTGCCAGGAGCCTCTGGTCATTAATCATTGCCCTATGATAGGATCTCTTACTGGGGTTTACTAGCAACACAGGCAGACTTTCTTTTATTAACAGCATCCAGAGATTCCATAAAGTGGGAAGGGAGAGGATCAGGTTTTTTACTGTATTACCTTCATCAACAGCATCTTTTACATTTAGCTTACACTGGACAACACTACAGAAATACAAAACAATATGTCTAAAAAGATGCTTAAAGCCCATCCTGTAGTGTTTGATAAAGTTTTAATCAGTATATTGTTACATTTGAATTTGAATTGTGGGGTATGTGGACTGCATCTCACTTCACTTCACTGTCCCATTATTTAGAAAATGTCCTCGGGCTGAGGTTCAAATTTTTTAGATCATTTTGATTAAATAGGGATCATCAGCGCCATCTGCTGTAGTGGTGTAGTTGCTGATTCCATTACCCTTGTCTCACCCTCTTGTTCAAAGTGTGTAGGAGAAACTACCACAGTGGTTGGTTAGTTAGGTCTTAGCTACTGTAGAAACATGGCGGACTCTGTAGAAGAGGAGTCTCTCTGCAGTTAAAAACGGGTCGTTCAAAGGTAATGAAGACACAACAATTCTAATTGTCAGGTGATTATACA